AAAGAAGAAGGATGAATAGTTTTGATTTCACTGCGCTGATTTGGTAGGGGATTTGAATTTTAAGGCAGGCTCACGGGTTTTTCAAGACCACTGACAGATTCTAGATACAAGTATCAGATGATATTACTATGAAAAAGAAACAGGGTAGAAGGGTCGTATCAGAAGCAAATTCAGAACGGGTGTCGCAGACGGTGGTTAGTATCGGCTAGTCTGTCTCACAGTCCCTGAACAACATTGTTTTCCCTACTGCCTAGCCTCCCTCTCTTGCAGTGCTAAAGCCCTAAATAAAGCAAGTCTAGATTTCCTCAGGTTCATGAATCTCTCGGTCTCCCTAGGCCTCTTTTCAATATAAATGGGCTTTGTTTGTTACTATCCAAATTATATATATTCAGAGACTAAGCCTTTAGTCTAGGTCGGGCTGTGTGATATAGAGATATAAGCTGAGATAAGATAACTCTTTAGGGGAATTAAACTGAAAACAAAACGGGGCATGTCATGTAACAATTTACAAAATAATATCCAGTCGTCGATCTGTGTGGGTGGTCATGCCAACAAGAGTTTTTTGAGACATTTACTGGGATAGCTGTGATTTAAACTTTTCCATGGGTATCATAAATTTTTACGTATCTCAACATAAACTTTTATGATCAATAGATGAGACATATTCAACACAGTGATGGAAAAGCACAAAATATCTTTGACATGACCCATTGTGCTTGTAAGGTGGACGCATTTACGCCAGGTGAATCAACGGTCCGTCCTCATACCCGGCTTAGTAATCGAATTGTTACCTATAGTCCAGATCTATTGTTTTGAGCAGCTATTCGTATTTTTTCTTTCAGGTTTTGCCCTATTGTATCACGAGAAACATGCTTTTTCTGGATATACTATTACGCATCCCTCTGAATGCCCAGTTAGGCTGATGTCTGTTTTTTTCGATATATGCCATTTGTAAATTCGACGATTTAGGCATACAGAGTAACATCTTAAGTTCAGCTTTTTATCTATTTCCGACAGTACTTTAATCATTTTGCTCGAGGCGTTTTCAATCGCTTACACTTTGGTTCCAAAACTACTTCCTCGCATTTCTCTGTCTCTCTAGCACGAAAGAGTCTCGATCTAAGCTTGCCTCGGATTGTAATGTCCAAGAGCGGCCGTTAGGGTCTCTCGGGTGGAAGTTCGTGATGGTGGACAAGAGACGGGAAGACAACTTAAAGTCAGCGGCAGTAGAGACCATAATGGAATAATGGTAGAAATGGTCCACAAACAAATCACGATGAATAGAACGCACATCGGGACCGAGCGGCCAATGTCTCGATGATGGAGACCCGCTCTGTCACTTAATAACAATATCTCAGAAGTCGGACGGCGATTCTTCCCTCGTCGACGTAGTTCTTTTGGTGAGGGCGACGGCCTTGGCCGACGCCCCGACTGTACCGAACAATCCGTCCGCTTCTGTCGTGATGATTCGGGGCCCGTCTCGTCCCCGGACTGGTTCCTGCTTCGGTCTCCGAGCGAACGAACGAAGTTAAATGTTTCAACGTCGGTTTTCAGCAAAGAAGAGGTGCAAGCCTGCCGAGGGAGGCTGTTTATGGTGGGTATAATTCTATTGAAATAAATAGGTTATAACGTTAAAATCCGCCACCAGGCATAAACTGTCACTGACGGGTCTTAGTAGTACCATAAAAGGCCCGTTAGAGACAGTATATACCTTTGATGGCAGCTTTAGCATTGGCCAAGCCCCTGTGGTTAAAGTAATGTGGCAGATATATGAAGTTTGCTTATATCTGAGGTGGCGGGAGTAAGGTGTTTGTATATGATTCAAATATGCATGTATTTATCTACAGTAGAAGTGTTTTGATTTTCTAACTTGATGAAAACAAACCATAATCTCATTACACTTTTTAACAGACTTTAAGTCGTGATGTTACGATTATTAAGAAATGAGCAGCACTCCTGTCGGAACATCCGACAGTCTCGAGAATAAATGCTATTTAGGTTTATTTTCACCGAGTTACAAAATCAAAACTACTTTCTACTGGTAGTAAAATCTGTTTTCTGATTCATGTCAATTTCTCGTGGAAGCGAGGTGGGTGTCAATAACACAATACTTAGAATATTATTGTCACTTCCACCACAACCTCGCTTCTGAGAAAGAAATCGTTATGCTTCAAGTTGTGTCATGGAAAATCTTTTAGGTCATCAATCATGTATATGTCGTACTACATACTACTAAGTAAGGCAGTTTTGATTCTTTAACTTCCGCGAAGCGATCTGAACACATTTAAGATATCGTTCCAAGCTTCCACAAACGCTCTTTCGCACTCGGCCAAACATAACCCATTTAGCACGAACTACGGGTCCGGTGGAAATTAGTGCGTGGTGACACCATCACCGACCCCCTAGGAGGGCAACGCAACGATTGATGGCAACGCAACGATTCGTTTTGCCTCGAGGTAAGTTTCGTTGTTCAGACCATCCTTTAATGTTGAATATGGGCGAAAAGTAAATATAAACAACATGAGCGATTCTGCCCTCTGTGTATTGTACTTTAACATTGAATCAGAGTACCACATTCTTTATTGAATGTTCATTTTACTGTGATCTGAGAAACAGCCTGCTAAGCAACAATACTACATAAATAATCCATGTGAAACTAAATTTATCAACTTATTATTGTCTTGCAATTCTACAAGTGTTAACAATCTTTGCTGAGTTTATATTTTTTGCATTGCCAAAAAGCGAAGTTGTCGAATATAGGGTATAAGATTAAATGAGACATTGTACATGTTAGTATACAGCCCAATATTATATATGGCGCTGGATTGTATTGTCATCTTCATAATTGTAGAACGGGTCGGTGGCCCTTGTACGAAATTAACTCTCACTCACTAGATATAACCTTACGATGCCACATACTTAAATCCAAACGTGACAAATTCACTTTTCACCCAAAGCATTGAACATTTAAAAACGTGTTCACCACTGCAGTTTCGACTCAGGCAAGTCGATAATCCTTTCGTTAAAAGCCTTAAACAATCATTACCAAAACAACATCTAACATCAAAGACTACCGCCAGTCGCCTTAACGCCCCCATGAAACACTTCATGCCGCTGCGTATGCCGCTATAGCAATTAGCCCAGGCAGAACAATCGTTTACCATCACCACCAGTTATCTGTTCTTGCGGATATTTCCAAAATTCGGAAATTTTGAAACATCATCTTTCCAAAATTGGAAATGTCTGGGAAACATCATCTTTCCAAAATTGGAAATGTCTTGGAAACATCATCTTTCCAGGACATTTCGAGGCTTGTAAATGTGGATTTTTTCCAGTGTTGGTTTGGGTAGAGGGAGAGGCGGTAGTAAAACTGTTAAAATGTGTGGGTGGGAGGGTGTTACATAATGGATGTGTTTACAGTGGCGGCTGCTGTGAGCGGGAGAGTTGAACGAACGAACGAAATTAAATGTTTAACATCTGCTAGCTGGCAGCTGCCAATTTCGCCGACGGGGTAGTGATCTGGCTGTTGGCTGGCCTTGACCTTGGTAGTATGGGCTTGGTGACGGGTTGTTTACATTGGCGAGGGGGAGGCGAGCGTATGCGCAGAGTATGGATAAATGAAATTGAGCGCCGGGTCTAAAGTGGTAGGGAGCAGAATGGATAACTGGGGTTTGGAACGGCTGGCTGGCCTGAATGTTGCAGTAGGTGGGAGGTGAGAGAGACGACTGTAGTTATTTAGTAAGTTCTAGATTCTTTTGAAGGTTTGAGTTTTGTAGAAATACTGTCAGGCGTTGAAGATGCTTTTTGTGTTGTGTGGGTTGAGGAGTAGTGGGATGCTGTTGTGATATTTAGGGGGAATGTTGTTTTGTAGTTGCTTAATGTTTGACTTTTGTAGCTGGCCGTGTAGCAATGCTCCAGCCAAGGGCAGATAACTCATCCTGACCTCAGTCAGTGTGGGCTGAAACCCAGGACCTGGTCATCATGAGGGTACCCTTCAGTTTACGTTGATTGGAAGCAAATCCCTTCTACAAAGATGGGAAATAGTATGTGCACTACAGGCTGTGGTAAATGGCAGCTGTGTAATAACTATATTTAGAGCTAGACGTGGTTTAATAGTTTTGTTATGATGAAATATGTTTTTGAAAATTTGATTTTGTGGGGAAAATGTCTTATTGCACTAATGAAACTTTCTTTATTTTAAAGAAAAAAGTATATACTTAATAAATCATACCTTAAATATTTTTTTTCAAGTGACAAAGGCATTTTAAAACAAATTCAAAATGGGTGACTTTCACATGTGGTCTGCATTTCTATCAATTTCATGATCGAATTACCTCCTTTGAAATCTAAACACCCCCACCCCCACCGCTAATGCTAATCTGGGTGATTTTGTAAAAGTTTTGTGGCTTTTTCAATGAGAAAGGGTCGCTTCAGTCCAGACACATTAGACAATCTGCAAATGAAACAAATTGGGAAAATCTGACTGCAAAATATAAAATGATCAGCCTTTGTCTATTAAGAGCCCATGGCCTTCTGTCTTGGCAATTCTACAATTTCATTTAATTTCACATGAGTTAATATTTAGTAAATTAGTATATATATTTTTATATTTGTTTTGAAAAGTAGTTATTATATCAAATTAAGTCAAGTCAGGTTTATTCTATATCAATGTGACAACAAAATCATCAGAAGATGACTATCCCACCAGTTCCACATAAATCCTAAGATCATTTTGCCGATCCATAAACAAACCCTTACCTGGAATCAAGTCTAGCCATTAAATTGAAATTTTAGTATTCTGAAAAATATCAAAAGGCATTTCTAAGTTCAGTAATTTGTCTGATGCATGCAAAGTTTCAGAAAGAAATAATGAACGGTTTTCAAGTTCTGCTCTGGAAACGAAAATGAATTGGCAGACGGATCGGACAGGACAGACAGACAGACTGACAGACAAGGTATTACATACTGGTGGATATTACACATATTTTTCAAATGAATAAATGATCATCAAAATCGTTATACATTCCCTAAATCAAAGATTTATCATCAAGTAGGGCTAGACTAAACTGACCAACGGTATCACGCAATGATAATCACTGATGACTGCAACATATTACACAAGACAGGAAACTTGTACTCTCAATTCTATGTATATGCAACTATTCAATAAAAACATATCTTCCACTTTTAGTTCCTTTTAACACTTCTCCTTTGAATTTGTGGTTGACTACACCGAGTGTAAAGACATTAATGCATGTTTTGGGAGAATTTCATCCATTTCCCGCTATTTTTTCTCCACTATTTTTCCATTTATAAAATCACATTGAACACCCTTGACCTTAACTTCTGTTCCCACCAATCAGCATTGATAAGGACACATTTGTGATTTAAAGATTTCATTTTTCCACCAAAAGTTAAATTTTTATGCACCGGTTGTCACTTTTCTGTTTTGTTTGTTTCTTGGGGGTCCTGACGGTGCCATTTTTGTAGGATTTTTGCATGAGATATATGGACACTCAAAAATCAATAAAAATATGGTTTTCTTTCTTAAGGTTCATATGAGATAAAGCCATTTTTAAATAATAAAATCACATGTTTGAAAAATCATTGAGCATAGCTAGGGCAGTGTATGAGTATGTGATTTATGTCTTCTTGGGTTATTACAGTGTGTGCATAGTCCATCTGCATGTCTATTTTGTTTGTAAAGTGTGTGGTTGAGGTTTCAGATGCCTGTGATAAGTCTGTTTATGGCCGTGCCAATATTTTTTAATGTTTGAGAATGTAGGATTTTCCTTAAGGGTGATTTTATTATGGAAGTAACCCATGTTGATTTATTGTTGTTTATGTTGTGTTGAAAGTCAGTATGTAGTATATTTGATTTAATGAGTTGTTTAGTTTCTGCTTTGGATGTATGAAAGTTTATATTTGGTGATTTGTGTGTTCCTGGCTGTTTTGTATCTGCTGTGTCGTTTCCTATTATGTTTGAATGGCCTGGTGTCCAGGTGAATGGCGTGGTATCCAGGTGAATGGCCTGGTATCCAGGTGAATGGCCTGGTATCCAGGTGAAAGTTATGGTTTTATTTGCTCGTTTAGGTGAGACTGTTTGGATTGTAATATTATGAATGAGATCAGGGAGAGATTTGGAGTACTTGTTATGTATTTGCCTAATGGAGTTTAGTGAGTCGGAGAGAATTAGAAATTAGTTTGTGGAGGGTAGGTGGCCTCAGACCACAGTTACCCCCTTAACTTTACCCCGAAGTAAATTATGAGAATATAGTGCCTTGTTTAAATGGGCTGTTGTGAAATTAATTCATGCCCAAAATTAACACTCAAAATGCCAGAGATACAGCATAGTGTAAAAGAAGTATAAGTCAAGTTGTGTATGAGTTAGGGCTTTCAAATTTTCTGTGAGCCTTACATAGTGTCTGGGCTTAGTATTGATGAAAGTTTTATTGAATTTTGCAGACTTTTTGTGTCCTGATAGGCCTCAGACCACAGTTACCCCTTAACTTTACCATGACCCGAAGTAAAATATGAGAATATAGTGCCTTGTTTAAATGGGCTGTTCTGTTTGTGCTAATGTTTTCAGGGTGACTTGTGATAGCTTAAATGGAAGGTAAGACATTGTACTTTATTGCAAAATTCTTTTTTGGTCCACAATCTACTCATGGTAGGTTGACACCAGCCTTCCTTGGTTTGACTCCAAGTTCAAGGCTGTCTAGAGTGTTTCGGCTCGTAACTTCCGGTGACCATTGTTTACAGTGGATACAGCAAAATTGACATGGTCGATCCAGGCCCATATTTTTCCGATTAAATGACAAGTGGCAGGTTGGTCAGCATGCAACAGGAGAACAGCCTACGACCGATATTAATTATGGTGCACTGGCATGTCACTGTAGATAGCAAAGAAGGAAAATAATTGTTGTCTGAGGCCTGATATGGTGAAGGTAGTGCAAGTGTTTAATTTGCTATATGTCTGTTATTTTTCACAATATTCACTTGAAACTTTGCATATTGACTGACAGGAACATTTGAAATATGTATACATTTGTTTTCAACTGACAATATTTTATTTTACATTTTTTATGAATTTATTTCAATTTTCTGATTGCATATTGTTTTAGTGGGAGTGAGCCGGACGCATCATACTTAGTCAGATTGGTTCCATTATGGTGAATGTATGTATCACTACGCCGCATCGCCTTTTAGATGCATGTGATACCTAAAATGGCTAATATTCAAGCCTTTTTCAAAAGATATAGAGCCAAGTTTGTGAATAATTCAGTCCTCAATGAGGAAAATGGCATATGTCATATGTGGACTGGGGTACAGTGGGTATGGGGTATTGCGGTATTTTTGCCCCATAGCCTACCAGTGGCGTAATACTCATGCTCACTGGCTGAGTTTCATAGTACACACGGAAAACTTCGACATAGGTGATTACGACATCAGCCATTTGTGCCACAACAGTAAATGCACCTATGTCGAACACCTGTCTCGCTGAGCTCGACACAGCATAAATGCAGACGGAGTGGCCTGTGTAAACAGGGTGTGTGTAAAGGCCATGCACCTTTCCCAGATTGCCTTTTGGCATTGAAGTTATAGGAGAACAGAAAAACAAAGGCAAAGTATATGAAAAATACTATATCATATAATATAGTAAAATTTTATTCATATTTCCTGATTTTCACCACAGTCACAGTTAGTTGTGACATAGCACTTATTCACAACACATAGCTTTAGAGACATTATGATGTATTTAAACTTAAAGTTACACAGTATCTGTCTTTAGCAAGTAATTAGCACATACAGTTCTGCAGCATCACTGCACATTTTCAATATTTTGAATAAGAATGTTCATGTTTTTTGATGAAACACGGTACAGGGTCTAACTGACCCTTTCTGTAGTCCCCCTCTGCTTGTCAGTCTGTTTAGACTTCAACATGCTGTGTAAGTTTTTCACAACACTGCGCTTTTCTGACAGTCTTTGTGATAGGTAGCCTCCTTGTCCATTTGTTCAAGTGACCGCACAGCTCGGCTTGAAAGTTTCACCCCAGAATGGTCGCACTTGTCGATTGCTGATGTCCCAGGGCCATTGTTGAGCCTGTGAATTGTGGAAGAAGCCCTCCCAATCATGTTCCTTGAAAAGTTTACATTCTTTGGCAAAGAAATACTCAGTGATCGATTGGCAGCTTCACATTTCTGTGTGTCTGTGTACAGTTTCATTTGTTCCACCACTTCTACACTTAACTTCATTTTGAGAATTTCATTAAGCAAGTGTTTATCATTGTCATCCATATTGAAATGAGGATGATACTGTTGCAGCCGAGGAACATGGATCGCTGCCACCAGCTGTTTGTTACACCTCCTCTACACACAACTGAGTACCGGCACACCTGGAGCAGTCAGCCGCTGTAGCACTTGAGAGGGTTGCTTCAAGCACTCTTGGTAAGATACTCACGGCGTTTTCATGCTCACCTGCATGATCTTTCATGAGTTCTTTTAGTATCAGGCTGCAACCGGTGCTTTGACATCCTGGCTCAGCACCTTCTTTGCTTCCATTTTATGTGTACAAGTAGTGCCGTGGAACATATCTGCTAAAATCAGCTCTGTAAGTAAGTAGATACAATAGCTGTCCGAGACCAAGTCCAACAAAAGCCTCTGTAAATCTTTATTTCACAAATAAAGCTTTTGTCAGGCCCTTAGATCTCACCCACCATTGTGGGAACTGTCCTGAGCCAAGTTGGTGGGGTCAGCTAGCCTTTACACCTTCCACATTGGGTCCAACACTTTCAGAGCTTTGTCTATACCATCTGCAGACTTCAATCCCCATGATTTGTGGCATACTTTATGAGTACACCCTGTGGTGCGAAGCTGATTACCAATGTTCTCTCCCCATATTGAACTCAGAGACTGGAGTGAAGGCCCACATGTTCGCAGTACTGTGTCTGGTGCCCCGGGACATTTCACATCCATGCCTTTTCCTTTCAGCCAGGCACCAATCCAGCAGAGCTTATTCTGGAATGACGACCGATGATGAACTTCTTGTCAGTAACAGTTTCAGCGAGGCGATGCCGATTGCTTGTGATGCATTCTGCCCTGGCTTCTTCCTGCTTGCTATTGTTGTTGAGTTGTATCGGCCATCCATAGCAATGTTCATCTCACATGGCTCAGTACCTCTCTTCGATTAACTTCCTTCACCTAACTCCACCTTTTCTGCCATATCCTTAGTGTTAAGTTCAGTTACAGCCTTAGCCACCTTGTTGGAGGTCCTCTGCATACTGCTCCTGCATGGGGTGGAATGTCCATGTTGGCCATCAGTAACCTCGCCTCGTGATTTCCTGTAGGTGTGTCCTGTAGACCCAAGGCAGCCGTCCCACGCTGGGTGTTGCTGGGTTTGGCCCAGGTTTACCCGCCTCGATTTCTTTGTATAACTTCATTTCAGGTGCTACAAAGTCACATGTGACACATTTCAGTGTTATTTTCCAGCAAGCTCCCCATTTTCTCTCCTTGGCTATCTGCAGCTGAGGGTCGTCACAGTCACTGGATGTTGACCCGATGCAGTCGCAGAGCTGTGTTCCATGCTCGCCACCTTTTCATTGTCGATCTAGTCGCATACCCTCCAAGTCATCTTTGCTTGACTCTTGTTTCAGGTCATGCTTGCTGGTTGAAGTGGACGCAGCAGCCTCACTGAAGTAAGAGATGCCATCGCAATCAGTGTGTTGACGACAGCCCAGTTCCATCCAGCCTTGACTTGGTGACCAGGAGAAGTCTTCTGACTCAACCTAGTGACTGTCCTGGGTATCTGGGGTGGAGATGCACTTTCAGACTCTTCTCCGATTCAAGGGTGAGACCTTTGTTCCAGGGAGTAATGGCCTTTGCTGAACTGTGACTTGATTCTCTCCTTGGCGGTCGCCTTTCATCGTATTGTGTCGAACAGAACTAATGAGCTCTGAGCACAACATGTACCCTGTATACCCCATCTCTGTGTGTTGTCACTGGCACTGACAAGCAGGTGTATGTATTAGAAAATGTGTTGGAAACTCAAGACATACACGTCTTGTTACCGCGTGTAAATCAACGAAGTTGAGCCATACACACCTACTGACACTTTGTCGGTATTGGTCAGGTGTCAGGTGAGAGTGGTCACGCTTCTTTGGTGACTAGCTGCACCTCGATTGGCTGTACACAGCTGCTTGAGCAGCCAATCAATTTAACGAGTGAAAGATAGGGTTTTCTAATGAATAAAAATTTAACAGTTTCAATTTTCATTTTTGTTGAAAAATATGAACTTTAATGGAATTATTTTAGTATAAAATGCATGTATGTATATAAAAATAGAAAAAAAATGAAAAAAATGCTTTAATGGACTGAAACCAGTGTCCTTTGATAGCACATGCAATAACAAAAGAGGAACACTTGATGTTTTTGTCAATTTCCACCTGGTTATGGAGTTATAGACAAATTAGAATTGTGTTTGAAATTATTTCATGCCCAAAATTAACACTCAAATGCCAGAGATACAGCATAGTGTAAAGGAGTATAAGTCAAGTTGTGTATGAGTTAGGGCTTTCAAATTTTCTGTGAGCCTTACATAGTGTCTGGGCTTAGTATTGATGAAGTTTTGATTAAATTTGCAGACGCTTTTTGTGTCCTGATAGGCCTCAGACCATAGTTACCTCTTTAACTTTTACCATGACCGAAGTAGAAATATGAGAATATAGTGCCTTGTTTAAATGGGCTGTTCTGTTTGTGCTAATGTTTTCAGGGTGACTTGTGATAGCTTAAATGAAAGGTAAGACATTGTACTTTATTGCAAAATCTTTTGGTCCACAATCTACTCATGGTATTGACACCAGCCTTCCTTGATTTGACCCCAAGTTCAAGGCTGTCTAGAGAGTGTTTCGCTCAAGAATCTTCCGTTGACCATTGTTTACAGTGGATACAGCAAAATTGACATGGTCGATCCAGGCCCATATTTTTCTCCGATTAAGTGACAAGTGGCAGGTTGGTCAGCATGCAACAGGAGAACAGCCTACGACCGATATTAATTATGGTGCACTGGCATGTCACTGTAGATAGCAAAGAAGGAAAATAATTATGGTCTGAGGCTAGGTATTAGGTGCAGTGCAGTGAGGATAGCTGTTAGTTCTGCTGTATGTATTGAGGTGTGGTTTGTATAGTGCAGGTTGGTTGTAATGGGGGGTTTTGTTGGACATGTATGTCTATACCAGTTGTTTTGTTTGGGTTGATTGGAAGTGTCTGTATATATATATATGGTATTATTGTGTAGGGTAGTTATTGTTAATATAGTTGTTTATGATGTTTGTTATGGTGGGTTTGTTGGTGTTTTGGTAACTGCTGGAGAATGTTGTCTAGGGTGGTGTCTGTGGTGGGTGGGGGTATGTCGTGAATGTAGCTTGTAATGGGAGGTGTATGTTGAATGTCGCTTTAGCTGTTGTGACTGTAGTAGTTTATGGAGGTGGGTGAGGCATGGAGCTCTTTTAAGGATTTAATTTGAATTTCTTAAGTGTTGATTTCTTTATATTGCTGTATTTATGTGTGACGAGTTTAAATAGTGGGTTATGTTGATTCTTTGTGTGAATGAGAGTAGAAGTAATGTGTTTATGGAGGTACCAGTCCTCGTAAGGCCTAGGGCTAATCTTTTAGGGCTTTATATTGGATGGAGTTTATTTTTTGAAAGTTACAGGGGAGAGGGCGGAGAATCGGTGAGGCTGTATAAGTTTTGTATATGTTAATAAGTGTGTGTGTTTGTCCTACTTCCCAGTTTGTATTTAGCTGATGGCTCTCATTAAGTTGAGATCTTTTGACAAGAATTGACCAGGTTATGAATGTGGGGTGTCCATGTCATATGTTGGTCGAAAGTTACTCCTAAGAATTTGGTTCCTTTTTTAATTCAATGTTTTGGTCATTTAGGTGCAGTTTGGGTGTATAATTTTGCATTCGTTGAGTTTTGAAGAGTATGACCAAGGTTTTTTGACATTTGTGAGGAACCCCCACTGTTGGGCCCAATTTTGAATATTTGTTTACCATTTTGGCATTTTGTAGAAACTTGTTTGACAGAAGTGGAGGAAGTCCAGAAAGAAATATCGTCGGGCAAATTTGGCTTTGAAATTTCAGGCCATTTATCTGGGAATATGTCGTTGATCATGAAGTTGAAAAGTGTTGGTGATAATATGCTTCCCTGGTGGGTCCCATTTTCTAGGGGATGGGGGTCCGAAAGGGTGTTGTGAGATTTGAGGATTATCTGTCTATTATTAAGGAAAGAGTGGATGAAATTTAGAAGTCTGCCGTTAATGACATATTTTTGGAGTTTTTGTATGAGGCCGTTGTGCCAAACCATATCAAATGTTTTACTAAAGTCAATGAAAATGGCCATAGTGTATTGTTTTTGTGCATGGGCTACCTTGATATCTTATTCCAAATGTAAAATATGGTCTAAAGTTTGCCTGTTTGGAGTAAAGCCGCTCTGGTCCTCCTTAATTAGATTTTTTGTGTATATAAGGTGTTTGAGCCTGTTGTAAATAATGCTTTCTAGAGTTTTACATAGATGAGAGGTGAGGGAGATAGGGCGATAAGAAGCAGGCTCATTTCTAGGTTTCCCTAGTTTGAGAACTGTCTGTTTTCCATGTATTTGGGATAGTACCTGTGGTCCAGATATGATTAAAGAGTGTAAGTGTATTGACTGTAGTAGTTTATGGAGGTGAGTGAGGCATGTTAGGTGTTAATTTGTTGAGTATAGTGTATGTAATGGTATCTGGACCTGGGGCTGAGGCTGTCTGTTTGTTTCTGAGTGCAGACTGAAGTTCGTGTATATTTATTACTTTGTTTATAGGTAGATCTGTGTTTGGTGGTTGTGGGGTGTAGGGGGGATGCTTATTCATGGTATTTTGGAAAGAAGGTGTGTAGTTGGTGGAGCTACTGACGGCCGAGAGGTGGGCAGCAAATGCATTAGCTCTGTCTTTATTTGTGGCTAGGTCCGGAGGTTTGGATAAATAGGTTTTTAAAAATGCCCTTAATGGCTTTAAAATTTTTCCACATGGTTCTGGAGTTTCGACTTCTGTGAGCTTAAGGGTAGAACAAAAATTGTTTCCAATGGTCATTTTTTTTGCTGCCTGGATTAATTTCTTCGTTTTATTTCTTAGTTGTTTTGCCAAATGTAATTTCGAACGGCCCCTCTTGGATTGATTTAGGGCCCTTTTCTTGCCTTTCTGGCTTTAATGATTTCTGTGCTCCACCAAGGGACTGTTTTTTGTGCAGGGTTGAAAAAGTTGGAATGCACGCAACCCTCTCCCAGAATGGGGATCGATTTAGTGTCCCATCGCGGCAAAAATTGGAACTTTCACTCAACCAAATAAATGCAACAGTTCCGTAAATGGTTTCCAACTCCCTGGAAGAAACGTTTCAAAAGACTATGCTGCCTCCTGTTGCTGCTACTGACATTGCTGACCGCGTGTGGCGATGTTGAAACTGACCAGGGCGAGGCCCGACAAGTCAACCTCCCGAAGTTACTTTCGACAAACAACATTGCTAGAAGGTGCAACCACCATGGAAAAGTTCACAAATGAAGACCTCATGAGAGTATTAATGGAACTAAAAAAAGTGATTTAAGTGGTTTAAATGAACGCACCACACGCATCGATAAGAAAAAGCTAACAAGATGGCGGCGCGACGTGGAAAACGAGCTGGACAACTTGAAAACTGAAAACAGACGCCATACAACAACAGCTACAGGCCATGGGTGACAAACACGAAGACATGGAATCACGTTCACGGCGGAATAATCTTGTGTTCCACGGCATTGCTGGGGATGCCAATGAAACTTGGGACATTTCTGAAAAGAAGGTTAGAATTTTCATGAACGATACCCTAATGATAGAACATATCAACGAACTCCATTATATCGAGGCGACTGTATCTCACCAAGCGCGAAGAAAGCAGACTCACCAATTATTGTTCACTTTGTCGACAGCAGACAGAAATCATATAATTCGGACAGCACAGGAAAAGCTTAAGGACAACCAAAGTTTAAAGTTTCTGAAGACCTTACTTAAAAGAGTCCGAGATCATCGCGCGTGCACTATCCACTCTCTTTACCGAGGCCAGAAACCAGGGGAAAACACCTCAAGGATTACATGCAAAACAAACTACTAGTTGATGGGAAAACATACATGTATGACCTAAAATGATTAAAGTTGTATGTGTGAGTGACCTCTCCAAACAGGACAATCTGCATCCTCGGGATCAGCTGATCCAACGAAGTTTGTTTACATCACAGCCAAGGGAGAGCACTCTAAGCCTTAGTCTCAATGAAAACATGTGATGTTCTGGCCAGGGCTCGCACAATTCCAACATTCTCAGCTGGAACGCCGGAGGACTAAATAAACATGTAAGATCTAGTTATTTCCGATCTCAAGCAACTATGTGAACGATTTGAGATTATCGGATTATGTGAATCTTTCGGTCGCGGGATTTAAAAGACTTTTTCCTCCACATTATCTATGTGGCTACCATACTTAGAACAGTGTTCACCCTGAACAGCATAAAATCCGGCCCGTACAGTGGCGGTGTGGACTGTGTTTATCAAAGATGGTCTTGTGCAACATGGCAATTTGAATCGATTATCTTGGTGATTTGCAGGACTGCGTGATAGTTCTACAACTGAAAACCTCATATAGCACTATTGGGAAAGATCTAATTCTGATGTTTTTATAT